GGAGTCGTGGATAGTGTCCACGACTTATGTGATGTCGTGGATAAGGAATGCGATTCCCATGGCGAGATGTTGCGTATTTTACAATTGTACCGGGTGCATAACACTCGACATCATTCAACCAACGAGGTAACTCGTTGTACGATTCCTTGGATGCACGACTTCCCCCTAGGAATCGCATTCCTTGTCCACGACATCACATAAGTCGAAGACACCATCCACGACTCCCTCAAAAACTACACCGTAAGGAAATTTAAAGATACACCAAACGTGAGATAGTATGGTCAAATTACACTTTCCACGTAATTTTTCCGAATTTTATTATAGGGTTATTCCTCGTATCATGAAAATCAGTTCTTAAAACTTATATATAGATCATATGGTTATAAGTCCCACTTATTGTCTTAACCTTCTTACAATACATCTGTGTGCACATGGAAGATAGATTTAGATCCTCTAAAAGCATGCATATTTATGTTTGTTGATTGATAAACTAATGATTAAAATTATAAAAACTATGATTTTTTTATAAATGTTCAAATATATTACCACAATCACATCCATTGATTTCTCAATAAATGGTCATAAATAATGTCCATTTTAGCCTCTGTGGTGCATCCCACACTTTATACTTTATAGTAGTCAGATACATATGTGTATTTGAATAAATGTTTCACATTTTATATAGCTTATTTCTGACTAAATGTTCAGTTATCACTCACATTACAACCTTTTTTTATGCACCTTGGATTGTGCAGAATATGGTTATATGATGAAGATAACAGAAAAAAGTGATGTATACAGCTATGGTATTGTTGTATTAGAAGTGCTAACAGGAAAACAACCAATTGATCCAACAATACCAGATGGACTTCACATTGTTGATTGGGTAAGACAGAAAAGAGGTAAAGTTGAAGTTCTTGATCAAAGCTTACTCACTAGGCCAGAATCTGAAGTTGAAGAAATGTTACAAACCTTAGGTGTAGCTTTGTTGTGTGTGAACTCAAGAACAGATGATAGACCAACAATGAAAGATGTGGTAGCAATGATGCAAGAAATTAAGCAAGAGAGAGAGGAATATATGAAAGGTGGCAACAACATTATTCTGCATAATGGTTCTTCTGCAAATAATCAACAACAAATTAATCATTCCAATGCTAATGTAACTTTGAATTAGTTTAAATAGCAATGTGGCTATGTGACTAAGATTTCATTAGCAACAATGGTTTTTATCCTAGTGTTGTTGTTAGTTCAGCTTCACAACTATGGTTTCTTTGTGTGTATAAGGATGAAGTCTAAATAATTGTTAGCATTGAAGTAAGCTATGATAAATACTCTACTGTTTTCTTTGATTATTTAATCTAAAAGAACATATGAAACATTATGATGTTAATCTTTGAGTAAATTACACTGATACCCCTGAGTTTTAGTGAAATTATACAGACCACACCTCTATTTTTTACCCCGACAAAAAAACCCTGGTTTTTGTACTTACATTACACTGACCACCCATGTATGGAAAATAAGTATGATTTTTTAGATTAAAATGGATGGTAAGTGTAATGAAACTAAACAAAATATGATATATTGTAGAGACAAGTCAAAATAGTTTACGATTCAATACATTTTCATTATTTTTGTTCCTTGCAATATCTTATAAGAGTGATTTAAATAATATCTCCATATAATTATTGATGCATTTTGTAATGAACCAAAAATAATGAAAATGTATTGACTCATACTATTTTGACTTGTCTCTACAATATATCATATTTTGTTTAATTTCATTACATTTATCATTCATTTTTATATAAAAAATCATACTTACTTTACATGCAGAGGTGGTCAGTATAATGTATGTACAAAAATCAGGGGTTTTATATATGGGTAAAAAATGGAGGGGTGGTCTGTGTAATTTCATTAAAACTCAGGGGGTGGCAGAATAATTTACTCTAAAATAAGATAAAATTCCAACTAGACCGTTTAAATTTTAAATGATGTGTGCTTTACCCTATAAACTTTAAAAACGTGCAAAAAAAAACTCTAAATTTAGGTTTAAATGCAATTTTCTATTTCTCTTAAGTTGGTGCAATTTTTGAAATGGAGAGACATACAACATGTTCTTTAAGAGCAAAAATAATAACTAGGATAATGAGTAATTAAAATATTTTTCACTCTTAATTTTAAATTTGACTTAAAACTTTTATAAACAATAGAACGATTCTATAAAATAAAAAATATTAATTGTGTTAAAAATGATATTACATTTTTTATATAAAAAATATTTTTAATTGTATTACATTCTATAAAATTATTTGTTATACTCTTGCTTAATTATATAATTTATGGTGAAATAATTTCTTCCCACAAATCTAAATGAACTTTCATCCTTTTCCGAAGTGCACAAACAATATCCTATGCTCACGCATGTAATTTGAAGGGCTTTAACATGTGATGATTTTTTGTGTATCACTCATAGTGTGGAATTTTTTTTTGGAGTAGGAATGACAAAAATATTCAACTCGTAGGTACCCATCAAAATATCTACAATAAATATCCGTAAAAAATAGTTAATGGGTAGAAACGATCGATGATCAGTCTCAATATAACACAAGACAAAGACCTTCCTTTCCTTTCCCCATTTGATGCTGAATTTGCAAATTTGTGCATGATTTTTTTCCAAAAACAAATATCTGATCTCATAATTTCTTTTTCTGCCACATACTTTGGTGTACAAAATTAAATTTAAGAAAGTTTTTCTTACTTTCATTATTTTGTAAAAAATAAAATCTCACGCTTTTTTGAAGTTTTGATATATATGAAGGGGAGAGATCCATTACTCCAAGAGTAAGTGAAAAATACATACTCTTCATCTTAGTCATCCAATCTTGAAAAATCTAATGGTTTAGATGTACTCAACAATTCAAATCATTGGCTTTCCCAAGAATGAATGATCATGATCTGGAATAAGTGTTTTTCCTCTTACTCTTGGAGTAAGTGGATCCCTCCCCATATATATATATATAGTTACAATAAAAAATATTAAATTAAAAAATAAGCTAAAAGTGCATTGAAAATCTAAGCCTACTATTTTTCAAAATATTAAATTCATTTTTTCCCAACACAAAAATTAGCCTTTTAAGGTTCTAACCCTTAAGAGTTGATTTTAATTTTTTTTAGGGATATCCCTGACTTAAAAAGTATATTAAATACCAACTAATTCAATTAAATGTTCGCAAAAAAATATATGAAACATGAAATTACTTTTACCCTATACATAAACACATTTAAAAAAATCAGAGTGACAACAGATGTTATAAATTTGTTATACACAACAAAATTCTATGGAAAAATGCTCTAAATTGCACAAATATAGTCCTCACTTCACTTTAGAACCACAGTATATTTTTTTAAACTTGGGAACCAATATATTAACTTAGAACAAAAGATACAATAGAGTTACAAGAAATTGCACCTATAATTAGGTAATCCTAGCCTATTTTTATTAACCTCCTCAAATATGAATCTAGGAGTAATATCCCACCAAGTATACACTTGAGAAGAGACACGAAACGCAACTAGTATATCCGCACAAGTGTTACACTCCCTAAATATATGAGAAACTTTAAATCTCATTGAAGAAATTCGCATCAAGCATACTCTCCAATTATTCATCAATCTCCAAGGGACAGATCCTTTCCCATGAAATATATTCACCACTATAGCCGAATCGCTTTTAAGCCAAATAGTTTTCCACCCTTTTTGGTGCGCAATCTCAATTGCCATAAAAGCAGCTTGGAGCTCAGCAAAAAGAGAGTCCCTAACTCCAAAGAAACCTGCAAACCCACCCCTGAAAACTCCATTGAAGTCTCTAAAGATGCTACCACCCTCAGCAGGCCCCGGTGCACCAAGAGCTGTGCCTTCCGAATTAATTTTTATCCAACCCATCATAGGAGCAATCCAAAAGCTCTCGGAAAATTTAGCTTGACATTAAATTCATTAGAACCACGGTATGGAGTAACGGTGACAATTATAACCAACATTAGTTTGAAACTCGACTTGTTATTTACCTTAATAAACTTTATTCTTGAACCAAATAAGTAAACTCGAATTAAAATTTGAGCTCATTAAATAAACGAGTCGAACTTAAGTCAATACAATTTGATTCGTTAAATTCATAAGTTGAATCGATTAGATACATATATATACACGATATTGACTTAAATGTGAACTACTCTAATAAAAATGAGTAAAGTAAATCAACGTCATACAAATATACATAGATAATTATCAAGATTAAAAAGTAGTAATTGTTCACATGATCAATTAAAAAATTTATGTGGTTATCTTTTAATTTTGACAATTCAAATAAAATTCAATGATACATATTAATTGCTTTCATTTATTATATTAAAAATTGGTCTCACTTGAAACAATATCTATACATATACATGTGGACAATTTTAAATTATGCTAGAAATTATGCTAGAAATTTCTTTAAATTATGCTAGAAATTTGAGTTCATTAACTCACTTGAACTTCGGCTGAAAAAAATAGTCTAACACTACACTCACATGAACCTAGGGATGGTAAAAACACCTGAACCTGTGTGTACCCGCAAAAATATCTCATGGGTGAGAACGGATATCATGATACCCGCCCGTGGGTATCCACATATCTATTTTAATTAAATATTTTATACATAGTTATTATTAATTTAACATTATATTTGTTTATTTTATTATTACTTCATAATAAAATTTAGTAATGAGACTATAATCATAAAATTATCATATACATATCATATTATTTAAGTAAAAATTATTTTTATAGATTAATTATTGTAAACTATATAAAAAGTAATTAAAATTGGAAACTCATTAGATATTCACTACCCGCATATGTACCAACAAATAGTGCAAGTATGACACGGGTATGCACTATCCATGCCCGTTGCCATCCCTACTTGAACCATTACTCAACGAATCAAAGATGAGTTGGGTGTCGCCAGCTCATGCCGGAAGGTATTGGGTTAAGTCACACAACGAGCACAACCGTCATCTTTAGTTGCCAACATTGAGTTTGGAACCCGAGCATACTACATATGATAAGCCGGAGGAAGGTGAGGATGAGGTCATTGAGTCAAGTTGGACTCATTTCACCCCTCCCAAGGAGTTAACAAGCATGAATATAATTGATATGTTGTAGTGTGAAATTACTGCATATTAAGTTAGAAAAAAAATCCATATATTACTAACCAAAGAGGGAAAAAAACATGAACAGTTAAAAATCCATATTAATTGATGATTAACATTAATAACCCAGGACGATATTTTCCATGCATGGAACTTTAATATTCAAGTTTAAAATGGATTAAGTTTTTACATATACAACGATAACAAACACAGGACATTCACACATAACAATTGCGGTTAAATACAAAGATATATTGCATTCTCAAGTTTCAAACTACTTAAACACTGCAGTAGTTTTCAAAAGAGAATCTATGGTTGCAAACCAGAACCAACCACATAAAATCTTATCCATTTTGATGTCCAAATCTCATGCTTTAAGGAGAGAGAATTGAAGAGCATGGTCTTCAATCTCATTTATTCTACTACTAATAATGTATATTAATATACTAATATACTATTATATGTTATTATTTAACTAGCTTTTCATTTTTCTGCTTAGGTGAAGATGGTGTAACATTATTATTATTAATCACAGCACCAGCTATAGTTGCAGCATTACATCCATGTTGGTTTTTCTGAGACTTTAATGCTTTCTTGGTCTCTGGTTTTGTCCCTTGTTGCCTCACTTTCACTCCTCTTATCATCTGTTTCAACAAAAAAATTATCAATTTTTATAAACAAAATAAATTCATATAAAAATTCAGAGTTCAGTCCAAAAATTATAAGCACAAAAAAAAATATAGAATAAATAAATTTTAAATTAACCTCACCTTTATGTTTAAAGAAGCACCTATAACTTACATTTTTTAATTAAGTTTACAATTAAAACTAGTCAAAATATTTCAAATAAGTTTTAAATGAAATCCTCACTAATTAAAGAACTTTGAAATTAAGTTTCTAAACTATGTGACAGAAGGGACCTAAAAACTTTTGAACTAATAATTTATTTAAAAATGCAATGAAGTGATTTAAAAAAACCAAGATATAGAGAAAACTTACAAATTTGCCACACTTCACATCTGAATATATCACTATGAAATCTCCCTCTTGGAGTCCATTGGCTCTCACAAAGTCCCCTGAAAAATTAAATGGATGTTAAAACAATTAAGAAAAAGGAAAATGATATATTCTCCTACTAAATCCTCCTACTAAATCCTCCTAACCACAAAAAAGTGACATATGTCATAAAGTGATACTTTATTTATTAGTGATTGATTTACAAGTGACATATGTCACTTTTTCGTGGATAGGAGGATTAGTAGGAAGATTTAGTAGGAGGATATAACATTACTCTAAGAAAAAACAATAAGGAAAATGCAAGTGGAAAACTAAGACAAAGAAATGAAAACAACCAGTGTTCTCAAGCAAATACATTCTGCTTTTGTTGTTTGGCCAGTATCTGATGCTCCAAGAAGAAATAATGGAAAAGAAAATTTAGTCTCAAATGTACCATCAAGATAAAATATAACACATCTAAGGAAAAACATAAAAAAAAATTCTAATGAATTTTCGAATACCTATAGCGCATGTTCCAAACACGAGAAGTACTGATATCTTCCATTGTTATGGAAATTCCATCTCTTGCCTCAAGTCCTGGCAAGTGGGTTTCTGCTTCTTTCTGTTCAAATTTTATATCAAAATAATGATGATAAATTAGGACTACTTTTCAATTAATTAAAGTGTCCGCAATTGTGAGCACAATATTGTGGTTTCGGGAGTGTCCTCAAAGTGGCATTGCGACCACTATTGTGACAACATTTTCCCACAATTTTCAACATAACCGAAACTTAAGACATTGATAACAAGTATCTGGTAAGAGAAAATAACAAGCAGAAGAACATTACTTTCGGCAAAACAATTCTCCCCAAACTTCCGACATCGCTTTGCTTTAACACCTTTTGTAGAAGAAACTTCAAGTTCTTCTCAGACTTCCAACCCTGTCAATTAATAAAAAACGCATCCACATAAAATAAGCCACAAGTTATTCATGGATCAAAAACTAAAAGTCTTTGCAATTTAAATCTTAATATAGATAATCATCTTAGTCAATTAATAAATAATACTAATGAACTATGTTAACCAATGATATAATTGACCTATAATACTTGTAAAGTTTATGCAAGAATTTCTCTATTTAAAAAATTAAGTCAAGGACAAAATGTATATTCTATTATATAATTCTGGAGCACATTAACTAGTTCAGTGTCGATAATTATCATTATCATAGTTACTAAATAAATAATACTAATGAAATATGTTAATCAATCATGCAATTGGCCTAATACTATGAAAGTTTATGCAAGAATTTCTACCATTGATGAAATTAAGATCCACCTACCTGTTGTCGCTTTTCCGATGAGACCCGACCTTCGTGATAATTCTGTGTATTCTGGGTTTGCATGGCTGTCCAATCCACCACCTGTTGGGCTGCTGGTGGCTCTGCAGGAACCACCTGTGCCATAGGAGCAGCCCCACCCGACATAGTCTGCCAATACATCCAATTGGCTTGATTTGCATGAGCAGGAGCCAACATAGCAGTGCAATTATCACTTCCCAATCTTGCATGTGAATCCAAGAGTCGATTGTTCTCGTTGTGACCGTGCTTGTGATGAGACAAAATCCTTCTCTGCCTTGCCATCCTCTTCTTCCTTGCTTCTCTGGTCGCCGAGGGGCCTAATCTCATCAACCTATCACCACCAGGGCTATGGTGAAAATACAGATAAGGGTATTGATTCCCATAGCCATCAGTTGCAGTTACCGCAGACGGCTTTTGAGTGTGAAGATTGTTGTCCCCAAATGACTGATTATATTGAAAATTAGCAACAGTAGTGAACTGAGAAGGAGGCCATGAAGGTGTTGAATCCAGCATTTGAAATTCAGCACCAGGTTGATAAGGGTTATGATTATTTGAAGCAGCACCAACCATTTGTTGTGGAAATGGTTTAGGAGTTGCCATAAGAGGAGCTTGATCTGTTGTTGTTCCATAATTTGGTTCAGACACAGATACCCAAGGTGTTTGGTTGAAACAAGTGTTTGATTGATCAGGTGCATTCTTCAGATTGGAACTAGTGTTGTTTCTGTTTTGGCTTTGAATAGGACCCTGAAAATGCGTTAGTGGATCTGAATTATTATTACTCTCCTTTGGCCTTTTATTCTGAAGATGGCTAGTTTGAACCCATTCAAGAATAAGCTTCAACAATTGCTTCATGGCTTCTTTACCTCCACCTAAACGCCTTGCAGCGCTTTCTATTGTTGCTTTTTTCAGCTTCACACTCCTCAAATCATTAGCAGAAACACTATCCTTGTTAGACTTGAGCCACTCCAAGAAAACATTGCTCATTTCATCATCTAAACCAGCACCAGTTGCACCACCTTCTCCTTGAATCACCTCTTCATTATCATTAGTGGTAGTAGGGGGACACAATAGAGCCTGATTATGACGATTCTCTTCTTCATTTATCATACCTTGATGTTGTAGAGGTGTAGGTTCTTGATAATGATGATTATGATGATGTTGTGGTACCATAGCATGTTGAAGTTGATGTTGATGTTGATGCTCCTCTTGCTGTGGCACTGGCACCATCTGATCCTGTGTGAATAACCCTAAAGGGTTTTCTTCACTCTGGAGAATAGATGCTGCATCAAAAAATTCATTCCCCTCAAAAAGCTCCATGTACCCAAAACCCATCACTTCATCCATGCAATCTCCAACACTAGTACCATCAAGACCAGGATCATGGTTTTGGTGTTCCTGGTAATGGTGCTGTTGAGATACCTCCATGGATGCAGTTGAGGACAAAGTTGCAGTTCCTATATCATCGAAATCATGCTGCTGCTGATGATTCTGATGTTGGATGTAACAGTTGTAGTTGTTTTGCTCAAATTTTTCCTCAAAATCAGACTTCAAAACAGCCTCCCCAGATCCCATTAATTGATGATGAGAGTCTCGTACACTAGGCTGCCCTGACTTCAGAAAAGACCTAGAAGCCGCCGAAGTCGACGAAGACGATGAGGTGGTTGTGGTGGTGCAAGTTGTGGTCTTAAGAGGAAGTACATGAGTTGGTGAAGAAGAGGAAGATGAAGACATGCATGGGAAATCAGGGAGAGAAGGGAAATCTGCATAGAACATGGAAGGATCATTCACACCAAGAAGATCATCATCTTGATCATCATTGTTCAGCCACATCTCTCTCTCAGAAGCACCCAAAGTTTCTTCAAAACCAGCAACAAAGTGGTGATTACTAATATTCTCTATAGTACTTGCATGCAGATAAACCCCTTCTAACTCCATATTATAACTTATAAAAGACAAGATCTTTGATCAACAAACCAACACAAAAAGTTTGAAACTTTAATTTGAAACCCTTCTATTAGTTCTGTTTATTTAAGATATGATGATATGTATGAATATTTACACAGAGAAAGAGGAGAGAGAAAGTTGATAAAGAAGTATGGAGTAGTTTTTCCCCCTCTTTTTTCTCTTCTGTGTAAAAGCAAAAAAAATAAGGGCCCGCTTTAGATATCATAGTCCTATGAAGATAAGCAACAAAAAACATCTGGTTCTATAACACAACAAAATCCATAAGAGGATCAACTACCATGAAAACAATATAATAAGACTAACAAACCCTTGTTACCTACAAAGAAAGCGACTTTTCTATATTCTATAATAGGATACTTAGTTTTATTTTTTATTTTCAATTTGTGTCACTATCATACACTAATAAGTAATAACCAAACAATTCTATACAAATAATAACCATGCAACACAGGAATTTTTGAAGAAGAATACAATACCCTATTTATGTAGAGAGAAGATGAAAGGATTGGGATTTAGAAGGATAAAAAAATACTAACCAAAGAGAATGATAATAATAAACTTAACAAAGAGAGAAGGTGTTTGTGAATGTAACAGGGAAACCAAGAGATCAAAGAAGAGATT